AGGATACCCTAGATTCCAATATGTACCCAGATGTGTGTTATTTCATATAATCGAAGATAGAAGGTGCACCAAGAAATTACAGAACAAGAAAGACGCAAATAACTTTTTTGGCAACCAAAATTAGACAGACGAAAAGATGATATCGGTGAATGCAGTTACGATCAGTGGCTTTGGAGAACAACTGAGGAGATGATGGTCGACAACTCCTGCAACGTAGCTTCGTTTGCAAAAGTGACGAAATGGGTAGAGATAGACATAAGAGTAACGAGGTCGTATGACGGTGAACAAAGGATTTGAAACAGGTGGCGAGCATGCAAGAAAAGTGCAATAGATCTGCTCAATACCAGTCGATCACCACCCAAACTCAGCCAACAAAAGCAAAACAATAACCACCATCTCAAAACTAAGCATTGTTCATAAACAATGCTCATATATCTTCTAATAAAAGAGTATACAATTTGTTATTTGTCATTTTTTTTTATAATTTTTAATTTCTTTTCTCATACTCTTTAAAAATGATACATGTTTTTTTCTATGATTTTACATTTAAATTTAAATCTTTTTTAAGTCCCTTAAATTAGCATTATCAATAGAGAATTTGAAATTTAAAATAATTGGTAATCAATTATGCGATCCATGATAGAAAAAAAAAATCAATTATAAATAAGTTCCTATTTTACTTATTTTGTTCTTCTTTTTTATATTTTTATAAATTTGTTTAAATTATTTTTGTTAAAGTTATTCTGTATTTTATTTTTATTTATCAACATGTATTACATGTATTATAACCTAGTCTAGAATAAAAATAAAAATATAAGATTGGAACTCAATATTTATGATTTATCATAAACAGTAAGTTGGTATATTCAAATTCATTTGTTAAATAAGTTAGTCCAAAATATTTAGGAATAAAGATATTTGTTTTATGCTTATAAAACAATTGAAATAATGTTTCTTTTCTTAATCTATTAAGATGAATCTTAATATTTTTTTGAAGTGGCAAAATTTTTTGGATATCCGATGTGATATCTAAATCCGTATCTGAAAATTCAGATATCCGAAATTTCAAATACAGAATACTCATTATTTGAAATTTTCGGGTATTCGGTTTTGAACGCCCCTACCTCCGGCTTGCTTTTAAGGATGAGGGGAAAAATCTTGAAATAATATTTCCCTAGATTGGTTTATGTTTGTTTTTCTTTTTATAATCTTGGTTATTTATATCAATTTTATATTTTGAAGTAATGAAATATTAGGATTTTTATTTAGTTAGTTACTAATTTTTTTATTAAATTTAAATTATTTATTAACATTTAATTTCTAAAATTAAAGTATTTTACTATAAAAAAAATTGAAAGATGATCGGTTTCTTGAAGAGTGAAAATATAACATGAAAAGAAAATGAGATGACGATTGAAATAATATTTAAAAAAAAAATGAAATGTGAAGATAGATGCATTATTGAATCTTGCATTGAATCAAGAACAAAAAATTTTAAGAAATTCTAATGATTTTCAAAAATAATTATTTATTTAAATTTTAAACAATTTCCACGTCAGAATTTATCACGAAGTCCATTACAATATAATTCTCTTTCTAATTATTATTTTTTATCAAAGATTTTTCCGAATAAATAGATGAATAAATATAAAAGATGGTTAGTTTGTTTAAATATGTCTTTTTTAATTATTACTACAAGTCAAGATATAATATTATTTATAAGTTACCCATTTTTAGATTGTAGTTGATAAATAGATTAATATACAATTAATAAATTGAAACAAATTAAGTGGTGTGCCACTCACACACACACACACCCAAGACCCTAAATGCATTCGTCGGTGCACCCACATGGACTACATCACATCACCGAGCCCTTGTCTTTATTTTCTGCCTTATCCATATTTAGAGGGGCAAAAAAAGAAGTATTCAATAATGAGGGGTTATAATGAAACTTCTTCAGCTATAAGAACTCCATGCCTATTCCTGGTTTGAAGAGCACAGAACACAAGCATCCATCAATGGCTTCTAAAATTACAGTAATGCCCTTTCACACACTCAGTGTGACAATATTGGTGGTGGTGCTTCTTGTGCATTTGCATGGAACAGAAGCACAACAACAGCCATTGGTGCAGGGGCTTTCTTGGAATTACTATCAAAAAAGCTGTCCAAAATTGGAATCAATTATTAAAAAACAGTTGGAGAAGGTGTTCAAGAAGGATGTGACTCTTGCTGCTGCTCTACTTAGAGTTCACTTCCATGATTGCTTTGTTCAGGTATAAAATATAAATATATTTATATTTCCAATTGTAACAATTTTTTTTTTTACAAAATAGAAATATGCTTTTTACCAGGGTATATTCGTCTTTTTGTCCGAACTACTTTTTAAGTCAAGAAGAATTGTCTTGTTGTACATAACTAACAAGTACAAGGATTTATTCATTAATAGAATAATTGAATAAATATTTCAGTTAGGAAAACTAAAAATGGTTGTGTGAGTTTTGTATTTAACAAAAATCATTTAGATTTAGTTTTTCGAAATAAAACATGAATATATACATGTTTAAAAAATGATTTTTTTTGCAATAGATTAAAACAATAAATTGAGGGGTATATGGAAAAACTGAACCCTTTTAAGTTTTAACTTTAAAGTATGACCTTATATTTTAAGTATGTTCAAATTGAATAGTTGATTAACGATTGATGTTGGAAATTGAAATTTAAACGTGTATCAACATAATTTTGTGTAATTTTTTTAAAATTGATTTATTTTAGAGAATCCACTTTTAGAAAGTGGAGTACGGTCTTAGAATAATCAAGTGTTTTTATTCCCAAAATATTCCTTTGAACCACGTTTTTTTTTAAGAAAAAAAATTAATAATGATATTTGTCTTTTTTTAGTTTGATTAATAATTTAATATACAAGACCTATAGGAAAGATTCCTCAGCATCATTTTGCGAAAAAATGTCAGGCTTTCCAACAAATAGATCACTTAAGATGATCATACCTTTTAATCTATAACTCTAAAATTTGTATTTGATCGACTTATTATAACATTCATGTAGTTTGATTAGAATTTCAATGATCATAATTCGTATCCATTTTATGATATGAATATGATGACATCTTAATTCGTATCCATTTTATGATATGAATACAATGATGTCTTCAACAGGGTTGTGATGGTTCGGTGTTGTTAGATGGATCGGCTAGTGGACCCGTTGATAGCGAAAAGACTGCACCACCAAACCTAAGCTTGAGAGGTTATGATGTCATTGAGGATCTTCGTAGTCGGGTTAACAAAGAATGTGGTTCGAATATTGTTTCTTGTTCCGATATCACTGCTATTGTTGCTCGTGATGCCGTTGTCTTGGTAAACCCTTATACACTCTTGATCTTATTTCAAGATTTTACTTTTATTTGATCAAATCATAAATGTAACAACATAAGATAATACTTAAACCAATAGTCTTCTAACAACAACAACAACAACAACAACAACAACAACAACAACAACAGACTCTGAAAATCGAAAATCCCATTGTTAATACTTAAACCTATAACCTCGTTCATTTGTTTAAATGTTTTAACAAACTTGTTATATAAACAGACAGGTGGACCACAATATAAAGTTCCATTAGGTCGAAGAGATGGAGTAACATTTGCCACAAGAAATGCGACACTTGCAAATCTTCCATCACCATTTGTCCCAACAGACACACTGCTAACGAACCTAGCGCTCAAGAAATTTGACGCCACTGATGCTGTGGCCTTATCTGGAGCCCACACCATCGGTGTCGCGCATTGTACTTCTTTCACTCGACGTCTTTACCCTACACAAGACACAACCATGGATAAAACATATGCTAGCAACCTTAAACGTGTATGCCCGAATGCTAATACCAATGCAACCACAAACATGGATCTTAGGTCTCCGAATGTATTCGATAACAAGTACTTTGTTGATCTCATGAACAGACAAGCACTCTTGATATCGGATCAAGATTTATACACTGATAAAAGGACACGCTCTATTGTTACAAGCTTTGCGGTTAATCAAACATTGTTTTTTGAGAAATTTGTAGATGTTATGGTGAAGATGGGGCAAATGGAGGTGTTAACAGGCAAACAAGGTGAAATTCGTAAAAAATGTTCGGTGCGAAACTCGAACGAGTTGTTCATATCGAGTGTTGTTGAGGGTGACAACATGGACAGTGTCGAGAGTCTTTGAGGTTTTCGAAAGTTCTTTGTATGTTTGGGTGGTTAGATTCATGTTATCGTTTGATGTTTTCTGATGTATGAACGTTTTGCTTTGTGTTAACAAAATCTTTTCGAACACTTAACCTTTGATGGAATTGTGATGGCTTCTTTTATGGAGAAACAGAATTTAATTGATGAGATGATACTCCATGTTTGACATATCAGCAACAGTATGCTAGTTTGGAAAATATAAGAGGAAATCAAGTATTTGTCAAATATAATAACCAATGTGTGTTAAATCTGCAAAAGACGACCCTATATATTCATGTTTTCAGATTAATACGAAGGAAATTAATAAACAAATTAATTTAGTGGAGGACCACGACACAATAGGTGGCAAGAATAATGAAAACCATTTTTTTTAATAGTGAGCAGATTTTATTAATGAAAACTAGGTGGGGAGCCCGCGTTGCGGGGTCGGATGCGACAATTTTTTCCGTCGTTTGTTCTTTGTAAATGTTATTTGATCAACTATTTGTTTATAGTTTGAGTATTGTTATGGGACAGTAATATTGTTTTATTATGGATAATTTTTTTTGTTGTCAGATAAGGTATTTATCGAAATATATGCTTCATGGGTTTTCCCTCATTAAGTGTTGTTTAAGTATAACATTAGCTAGCTCAAAAAACATTTGATAAAATGACAACACACGTATCTGATAAAAGCAAAGTCACCAAAAAAAAAAAAAAAAAAAAAATCAATTTGTTGATCAATGTGTGTTATAGTATGCTAATAAGTTCAATTATCGGCTTTGTTAGATTCCATAAGCCCTGAGAAAAGAAAAGAAAAAAAACGTATCAGGACTTTGAAAAACTAATAAATACAGTCAAGACTTCTTAGTTATCTACAATCCTAAAGAAAACTTGATGGGCTCCAAAAAGTGAAAAAAGTTAGCTACGCACTTACCGGTTTATGTACAGTTTGACAAAAGTTTGCAGGCAAAAGAGAGGCTAAAAGGCCTGAATAATCTGGTGTGATGAATGAGGTTTTGCATTTCAATGTAGTTATATAGACAAAAGGAGCAATGCACTCTCAAAAAATGAAATTTGAAAAATGTCAACACATATAATCTATAATGAATACTTACCAACATTATCTTTCAAAACCAAAATCAACATACCCTTCCATGATTCCTTGATTAGCCTTTGAAACCTTTGCACCTCATAAATAGCAATGCCCTGAAATCAATGAAAAAAAAACACAACATAAAGATACTAATGCTTTTTATTTTTTTTTTCCTTTAACCCACGAAGATAAATGAAACCCGAAAAAAAAAAAAAAAAAAAACATGAACATAAAAAGAACGTAAATACATACTATTCTTATCCAAATTCACAACTTTAAGAATCAAATGACATAATCAATAAGCTCACCTGGGAAGTTGGAGTCTCTTTTGGTGAGTGTTTCGCCTCCTTTACAAGTTTATCTAATCACCCTATTTCTCATTACTTAGGTTTTAACCTGCAATCTTGCTATCACTATATTTCAAGATATGATCATATTGATTAGAAGCTAAAAATTGTACATAGAAACACATTGAGGGCTTACAGATCGAATAAGGAAATACTTGTTACCATGAACTTTGGGGTTGAAGTTGGACTTGAAGCCTTATCAGTTCAAATTATAAAAAATGAGTTTTTTATACTATTTGAAATAATGTCGATGCAAATGTGTAATGTATTTGTTTAAAAGTAGCCAATATGAAAATCTTGAAACAAAAAAGCAAAGGGTTAAGAACAAAGATTATTGAAAATCTTGAAATGAAAAAGCCAAGGGTTTGCATTTCCTTACCACATACCAACATCATCTAACCCACGGTATACTTACAAAATATATGTAGCAACAATAAAGATGTCAAACTCCACCAAAGCACAACAGGGGCTAAATAGTCAAAAGTTGAATTGAAAGGAAGGAAGCCATGTCACACTAAGATACTCCAAGCATAAATTGCCAAATCTAAAAAAATAAAGCTTACAATAAAAACTGTATAATTGTTTGAATTCGACCAATTTTCATTAAAAAGAAGATATAATTAAATAAAATTTTAATTCTTACCAATAAAAGCAATCTCAATAACCCAAACCAACAATAACAGTCATACAAATCTACCTTTAAGCATTTGGAAGATGACGAATACCAGCAAAAGTTTTCATTTGTTTTTGTTTCAATTTATATATATATATATATATATATATATATATATATATATATATATATATATATATATATATATATTAATACCTTATCATGTAACTCAGTTATTCTTTGTATAACTCTAGCCATTTCTTGAGCTGAATCTTCATCTTCTTCTTTTGCCTTAAATTTTTCATCTCTTAATTGTTCCTGCCAACAATTTATAACATAAATTTTAAAAAGTTGTGACATCCATTTTGTATTTCGCACCACGCAACCCTACATATCTTCAACTGGCTCACAAAAAGTTCATATCCGTAGTTAGCGAAGATTGGAGGTCTTGACCATGTCTCCTTAAGTGGGAAAGCGAAAAAGCAATCAGTTTAACAATATAATTAGTTGACTTTGACCGCAATTTTATCTTCCAAAAAAGGTGAAATAAGGCATACATTTAGATGATGAAAAAAAAAACATGAATTAAGGGTTAATTTTATTGTCTGTTGTATTTAAGTTTAATTCCAGAAAAAAGGGTAAAATGGTCATTAATTGTTTCGACATTCAAATGCTGCAATTAAGTATCTACTTTCAATTAATAATGAACAAAAAAAACATCAACTTTTGAGTTATAAAACTACAGAACCTGAAATGTTTGTTTAGCTGCTAATACAGGTACGGTCACCTTTCATAGGCTTTGAGTTTTCGGTTTAATTCCTGCACAACCCAACCAACAACAAATTAGATTAATTACCAGCTATAGAAATCATTTCCTCCTACTAACTACTAAAATCATAATACCTATAATTAGAAAAGTATATAAGAAATTCATAGAAGCCGATAATGAAAATATTTACCTCAGAACCGGAGAAGCAGAAATCAGAGCCAAGAATAACAGTTACACTTTTGATTCGAGAGAGGCTTTAGTATCCGAGGGTAGTTTCGGGATTTGAGATTCTTCCGGTTGACTTTGCCAAATCAAATGAAATTTCATCAAGTGTTGACTCGATTCTGTGTACACGAGACTCCAATGATCATATCCCATTCTGTGAGCTCCGAATATATTTCTGTAATTTAGGTTAGAGCAACAGAGATATGAGAAAGAGTTTATTGGTTGGGTTAATCTAAATTCTAAAGTAACAATGAAACTGAAATTACCTTGAGGAGATCGAATAAATTGGACTGTTGGGTTTTGATTTGAAGAAGCTGATTACGGATCACATATAAGTCCTCAGATTCTTGTTGGATTAAGTTGATACTGTAGCTGTCAATGATCTCTGCAACTTTAGAGCTTGACCTTTCTTCATGATATAGTGATTCGTGAATTTTTTTCATCTGAAATTTCATTGAAGAGGACGTGTTTCGTCATTGGTTTAAGCTTGAGATGATCTTCATTATTAGAGACAAGAATTGGAGGCAGAGAAACTGCAATGTTTAGTTTCTGATCATTTGGCTTCTCCCGATCCAGCTTACGAAACATTGCAGGATCACTTTTCCTGTTGCTGTTCTCGAATGAATTTCTATGAGTAGTACTGCTGGTGGAAGAACCAGTTGACTTATGAACAGTTTGAGGTGTTCTTAGTGGATATCGTACATAACTGATAGCTTCTTCTGTCATATCACAGATCAGAAATTACATCATTTTGGGAATTCGGATAATTATTATCATCAACAAAAAATCACATACATAAACACAAGTATATAGATTACAAGTGAGTAGGAACTAAGATTAGACAAAGTTTTTACTAACTGATCAGAGTTTTTTCAATTAATTTTATGCTAAGTTAAGAATTTATGTGGAAAAAACTGCGATCTGGAACACAATTTTAATTTAACAAAATATATGAATGAGATGCGGTGATCTGATCTTATTGCTAAGTATTAGTTTTTCAGGAACCATGCATATATGTATTTCAAATTTTAGAGGAATAGTTCTTCATACCTTTAGAAGATTGTGATTAACGAGTTGGTGATACCTGCTCAAGTACATCTGGAATTAAATTCCAAGCTTCCATCATCTGATTCATCGTCTCCCTTACAGCTTTCAGCTACAAAATAATATTATTACTCAACGAAAATCCACATAATTACCACTTAATTTTGATTCATAGATTAGTATTAAACCTTATCGAACTTTTTTGCCTCAAATGTTTTCAAGCACGAAGCCTTGGACTCCGGCAACTAATTTGTCTTTACCAAAGCCAACTTCTCCACGGCCTCTGCTGCCGCCTTCCTCGCAGTCCAATCCTCAGTTTTGACCACGAAATGAACCATATTTTTAGGGGAAAAAACAATCGATCTATTTATGAGAATCTATTTTCAGGAAGGGAAAAAAACTTACCTGCTGCAACCGGAGGTCGACGTCGTTGCCGGAGGCGGCGAAGTTTCCGATGATATCATCAATCGAGAAGATAGCAGGCAACTGCAGATCGAAGAGGTGGAAGGAGAACAAATTTTATTTAAGGCTTCAATCAGTCTAGGGATAAAATTAGTAGTAGAAGATGGACCTTACCTGAAGTAGATGACTTCTAACCACAGATTAAGACAGACTAATACATGGTGGAGGTTTCGACTCCAAATTCACAGATAAAAAGAATACATGGGTGATGTTTGTTGGAGCGCGTAACCTCATCTAAAGAAACGGGATGTAGGAGAAAGTGAGTATATGTTTTAAAGCTTCGTGTACATACCAGATTTCTTTCGTTCCTTTGGTTCCTGAAAGTCATGTATCAAGTTTGTGGTTGTGGCTTATGACTGTTATAGAGTCCAAAAGAAGGTCAGGGCAGAGAGGAGTGGAACTGGAGAGTGATCGTCTCCAAAAGACTGAAACAAATACAAAGCGGTGGAAGCAAGCTTATGTGATTAGGTGAGGGAATGGTGATGGGGCAAGGGAACGGGATAAGGGATAGAGCTGGAATCGGAAGAGATTGGAGAAGGAGGCGGTGGGAAGGATCCGAAAACGGATAAACCAAACGATGATTAACACGTGTATACAAAAATGTAAATATTTCCATAAAATACCCAGGTACAAAAATAAAATGGAAACAACACATCCATGAGCTATTCTTGCCAAAAAACACACAGGTTTACTATTCATAAAAAATGTCCACCTTTATATATATATATATATATATATATATATATATATATATATATATATATATATATATATATATATATATATATATATATATATATATATAGGGAAATCTCCAGAAAAGTCCCAAAATTTTAGTCCAATCTATGAAAAAGTCCCAAAATAAATTTTATTTACAGAAAAGTACAGAATACCGGTTAAAACTTCGAAAAAACCCTTTTCGGCCGGTTTCGCAGATTTTGCCGGTATTCTGTCCTTTTTCGTTAGTTTGCTCAAAATTTTGGGACTTTTCCAAAAATTACATAATAACCAAAATATTAGGACTTTTTTGAAAATTACCATGAAATTAATGGATATTATTATTAACAAATCTTTTATAAATTACATAATAACCAAAATATTGGTAGCCTAAGTACTCCTCTATTGTTTCTTGACCACTCAAACTCTCTACGTTCTTCCTATGCATTGTTGTGAGTATGATGGTGAGATGAAGTTAGTTAGCATTCCTCTAATGTTGGTGTTCTTCTTATGTTGTTTAACCTAACTACCAACCAACATTCATACCTTACATGTTAACAATCATCGGCTAACACACATCTATAAAATGTGAAAAGTGAACCCTGAATGATAATTTATATGGAAACAAGTGAAGGGTGATTATCTATTTAAATTGTCATTCAAAGTTTACTTTTCACTCTTGATAGATGTGTGTAATTTTATGGTTGTTACCGGGTAATGTTTGGAGGTTAGGTGGTAATTAGGTTAAAGAACATAATGAAAGATCTATATGTTCGTGTAATGATATTTTCTAATAACACATGATCATATAGCATCATGCTTAATAGCAAGTAGAAACTTATTGATTGTGTATTAATAAATATTATCAACTCTTGTATTGGTCACGCCTAATAGAGTACTTCTCACTATGACACCCACAACGATACATATGAAGAACATAAAGACTTTGAAGTGGTCAACAAACAATTGAGAAGTACATAGTCGACCATTCTATTTCTAGAAATTAACAACAAATGTATTTCCCTTGTTTATAATAAAAAAAATATTTTTTATGTTTATAAATGATTTGTTAATAATAATATCCATTAATTCCATAGTAATTTTCAAAAAAATCCCAATATTTTGGTTATCGAGTAATTTTCAGAAAAGTCCTAATATTTTGAGCAAACTAATGAAAAAGGACAGAATACCGGCTAAATCTACGAAACCGGCCAAAAAGGGTTTTTTCGAAGTTTTAGCCGGTATTCTGTGCTTTTCTGTAAACAAAAATTAGTTTGGGATTTTTTCATAAATTGGACTAAAATTTTAAGACTTTTCTGGAGATTTCCCTATATATATATATATATATATATATATATATATATATATATATATATATATATATATATATATATATATATATATATATATATATATATATATATATATATATATATATATATATATATATATATATAAAAGAATGCTAATCAAAAGTTCAAAGCCCACAAGTCACTCCACTTACCAAGCAAAATTCTAGACTACTGTCTTATTCATTTCTATATGCTACTTGGGTCAAGTACCCATTGATGGCTTGAAGTATAGAAAATAAAAATTTAGCCCACTTAACGTAAACAAAGTTTGCTCATCGGTTGGGTAGTAGTAGGCCAAAAAGCTGCTTTATGTTCTAAAACCGGCTTGAAAATCAAAATCGTTCTGAAAATAAAAACAGCTTGGATAAATTGGTTCGGTGTAAAATCTAACCGTTGGTTTAGATCGGTTTATAGATGTTACACATGAAACCAGTTTGAAAAAAAATGTTTAGAAATAGGTATTCAAACCAATAAAAACTGATTTTCAGATAGTAAAAATTATTATTAATTATATCCATTATTATTTTAATTTTTGGGTAGTAATAGTCAGAAATGTATGAGACGGTTTGGTTCGGTTTTAATTAAATCAAACCATAACCATTATAAAAGATTAATGCATTATGGCAGTCATGTGTATTGGTTGATATTGATTTTACTTCCAATAATTACTTTTTAGATTTTCAATTTTAAATATAATTACATATCATATATTTAATATTATATTGCATTATAAATATTTATTAATATTATTGGTTCAGTTTGGTTTTTAGTGGTTCGGTTTTGGATGAAAATCATAACCGAATCATATGTATTTGGTCAATCAAAAATAGAAACCACACCACTTTTTAAAATAGTTATTCGGTTATTTTGGTTTTTTTGGTTAATTTGGTTTTTGTTCAGTTTTCCAGTTAATATGCACACTCCTAATAATAGGCCAAAAAGGTAGTATATGTTGTGTTTTATATGTAATGTGATCGTATGTTTTGCATGAAGACCCTGGGGGAGCCCGTGGCATTGGATGTAAGACCATGTGGGGTAGCCCATGATAGTCCTAGGTAAAGACCATGTGGGGTAGCCCATGGCATTGGATGTAAGACCATGTAGGGTAGCCCATGGCAGTCCTAGGTAAAGTCCATGTGGGGTAGCCCATGGTATTCTTGTTGGTTCTATGTATGCATGGTGTATGTGATATGTTACTTGGATATGTGTATGTGTAGTGTGTGGTATGCTCTGGGGAACTCACTAAGCATTTCACTTACAGGTTGTTGAATTGTTTCAGGTACATCGGAGCCAAAAGGCAAGGGCAAGGCGTGATGGCGCGACGTGCACTCTATCTATCTCTTTTTCATTAATATGTTTATGGACAGACTCTGATAATCTATATAGTGTAATGGATGGTGTCTTAAACTAATATGAGATTCACGGTTTTATGTCATTGTGTTATTTAAATTAAATGAAATTTTTCGTGGTAAAATTTGGGTTGTTACATCTAGTTCATTGAACCATAGTGAAGCTTGCCGTCTGTGTGTTCTTTGATGAACCTACAACTTTATCTCTCCGACAAAGTACCACCGCTATTGGTTTAATAAATTGGTGTATTCTCCAGAATGATTATAGAATGATTTTATGAAATCATTTTTTTAAAATCAATGATCATTTTAGAAACTTCACGTTTAATTTCAGTTTTGTCATCATCGATTGTTGGTCAGTTCCTATATTAGATTTTTAAATCTGATTCTAGTTTTGTAACGCTCGATCCAAGCAGTATTCATTTTTTGGTCCCTTATATATTAAGTCACTGCTTTTTAGCCTTGTTTTGCAAGTTTGTGGGGAATGAGGGACCATTCTTGCCTAGATTGGAGTTTTGGAGGCGGACGTCGAACGCGAGGCGTTCCCTTGGGGAACACAGGGCATTCATGCGTAGAGCTCAAACCTTAATTTTTAGGGTTTAAGATCTATTTAAACACCTTAAGTCCCAGGTGTTGGTCTCACTTCCAGCCTCCATAGCCTCAAGCCATAAATCTCGAAACCATAGAGCCTCCTTGTGTGTTGTGAGCTCATTGTGTGTGTTTTGGTGTATGTTTTAAGCTCATTCAAGGAAGAGAAGCTTGGTGCAAGGTGATGGTTCAAGTTGGAGCTTCTAGATCTTGGTTCTTTGGTCTATTTCCAACACAACTAAGGTATAAAGCTCAAACAATGCTCACTAGAAGCTTAGATCTAAGTTTTTATGGATTTTGGTCCCTTTTTGGTCCAATGGTTGAGATCTTGAAGTTATGATCACTCCAGAAGCTTTGAGTTGTTTCTCTTGGGGTTTATGATGTTTTAGATTCAGAAAGTTTGCATCTTTATAGTTGTAAAAGGCCCATGCATGAGATTAAGCCCTTTTTATGGAAGTAGGATGCTATACCTTGAAGGTTGGACCTTTTGGGGCATGCAAAGTCACCAAGTCAGTGACTTTATAGTTATAGATGATCTTTAGGATGTGGATCTAGTTTATGGTCGTGTGGCTTTAGGCATTAAGTGCTTAATAAGCACTTTTGGGCTTCTGGGTGTGAACACCCTACGTTGGGTCGAGGTGCCCAACGTTCAGCCTGGAGCCCGCGATTTGTTGACTGTTGATGAACATCAAGCATTCTACAAGGGAACGCCCAACGTTCGATCAATAGTGGGCTTCTTTTGGGCCATTTTCTTGGACTTTGTTGCTTTAGGCTTTAGTGGACCATAATACATCATGTTTTTTTGTTATGTTTATGTTTGGGCTTTAGGGTAAAGCCCGTTAGAGGAATTTGAGCCTAATTTGGAAAATTGGGCCATAAGTGGGCTATTGGTGGGCTTTGGAAGATTATCTAGTGATGGAACTTTATGTTATGATTTTGGGCCCTAGTCATTAGCCAAATTAAGCCAAGGGTAAAATGGTCATTTTATCCTAAGATAGACTATTGGATTTTGATTGGATGTTATTTTGCTCTAATAGCTTGGGAGTCGTTTGGACAACAGTTAGATATTTCCTTTTGTGAGATTCAGCTCTTCGAGGTGAGTTTACTCACTAGTTAGCGGGTCTAAGGCATCAAGGTCGACCCTCGTTTGTTATATTATTATACTTGCTGTGTGTGTAATACTTGTATGCACTTGTATATGTATGTTTATTGGGCGGGGCCCATTATGTGAGTGTGGGCAGGGCTCGTATCTCATTACTATTCGAGTGTGGGCGAGGCCCGTATCTCATTGCTATCCGAGTGTGGGCGGGGCCCGTATCTCATTATTGTATGTTATATATGGTATGTGGTAGTTTGGTGAACTCACTAAGCTTTGTGTTTAAGGTTTTTAGTTTATGTTTCAGGTACTTCTGGTTACAAAGGGAAGAACTTGAGATGATTGAATCGCATATACCATTGAGATTCCGCTTATGATGTTTTACTCTGATTTTATAGCAATTGGTACATTGATTTTTATTTGAATGTTTGGGTGATATTGGAAAATACTATTATATCTATTATTAAATGAAATTTTTGGGACCATATTTTTTGGATGTTACAAGTTTTAAGTTTTGTTTGCTCATGATTTCATTGGACCTTATTTTGATTTAATCATGTTTGGTTTTGATTTTCTTAATTCACCATGTTTGGTCTGGTTTGATTTTGACTTTCAATATGATTTCTTATGATTATAGGTTTGTGGTTGGTTTAACTTTTGTTTGATTTGGTGCTCGTGATGGCTAATGGTGGTTGCCAGAGGTAATTAATGCAGAATTTTGTCCAATTTAAAATAAGGGTAAAAGTAAAACATATAACCCTTTATTTTTTTGGGTGTTACAATATCGTACGACATGAAACCTAGCTATGTACACTAAAATAAAAATGGACAGGCATAAAATAGATGAAATGATATTGTACTTGGTTGTATGCTTGTATCAACATCAATGAATAATAACGAATACTATCTCTGTCTTCCATCCACACCCCTCTCGCCGCATTCATCCACACATACACTCTTATCTCCTATGAACGATTTTTGTATTCCCCCCGTCAATTCACTCAAATAAAACCCAAAAAATCATCAAATTAACCCATCCTCATCTCCTAACCCTTTCCACATAAAATCAAGAACATAGTTTTTCACCCTATCAAATTATTATCCTTTTCGTTTTATAACTGTCCAAAATGACCGCAGCATTTTCTTTTGGGAAAATAACATAAATACCCTACGAACTTTCTAGGGTTTACCTGTAGAGTCCATAAAGTTTTTTTTTTTTTTTTTTTTTTTTTTCGGGTTTTATGGATCCCTAAAGTAGATATTACTTGCTTTTTTAGTCCCTGTCAATCTGTAATATTCGGTTCAGTGACCTTTTAGACAAAAAAAAAAAAAAAAAAAACCCTCACATTGTGCCCCTATAAAGCTAAAAAATAAGTTCGGGAATCAAATTGTACCAAAAAAAACTCTCATGTTTTTCTAAACCGATTCACACTCAATTCGTATTCATCCCGGAACTAATTTTTTTTGGCTTTATTGAGGCACAATGTGAGCTTTTTTGGTCTAAAAGGTCAATGACCTGGCTATAAGCCCGAAAAAAAAACTTTAGGGACTCAACAGGTAAATCCTAGAAAGTTTGTAGGATATTTGTATCATTTTCCCTTTTCTCTTTAAGTAAAACTTCAATGAAGGTCATGCTTGTGTTTAAACACTTTAGAACTCTTATATTACTTGGTAACTACATAAAGGAACACATATACAAGTAAATTCGGAATAACTAAACACTTCTATTTCAAAATCGACATTATGGTTTTCTTCACCTCGTTTATGGCAAAATTATATTAGAGTTATTGTAATTTAATTATCTCCTGAAAAAAGCATGATTACAATTCTCCCAAAAAAAAATATATATATATTCATATGTTTGTGAAAAGCAAATTATTATACGAAGAATGATGAAATTAAAATCCAATCATACAGCAAGTGAAATGTCGCCGATCTCAAGCTCTGCAGCAATTTCTTCCAATTGTTTCTTCACACTCATATCAATCAATTTGGATCCAGAATTCCCATACCTGATTGTGAATCCAGCAACCAATGACTCATCAATCACTGTCTTCAACCTCACGTTCTTTGCTCCGGTGAGTTTCTGCACTTGTTTCGCGATCTGCGCCATGTGCTGTTCCTCGAGCTTCACCACCGATGATACCACGGCCAACTCTGTGTTTGTTAACCTGTTGTAAGCCAGCTCGAACTCCTTCACGATCTCCTTGATCATATCGATCCGCTTACTCTCGACTAAGATGTTGATGAAATTGCAGACGTGTACTTGGAGTTTACCTGACGCTGTGATATCATCGAGCAATGCTCGTTTGTCTTCGAGGCTTACGATTGGGCTCACGAAGTAACTGAGTAAGCTGTCTTCTGAGAAGAGTTGATCGACCAATTCGACGTCTTTGACAGTCTGCTCTAGTGTTCCATTTGCGACTGCAACCTCCAACAGTGCTGCGGCGTAACTTCCTGCGGCGGAATCGGCCATCTTAGCTCCGGAGGCACCGCCGCCTCCGCTGCGCCGTGGTTTCCCAGTTAGTTTGATAGATAGCTTTGGGAGTCTTAATCCGCCTGAAAAGGAGAACTTTACTGGCTTGACAGAACTTACACGAGTTGAGACTGGAGTCCGGGACTGGAATGTGACCGGAGCTTGTTGAAGTGCTGCGGCGGCTGTTGCCATTTTTACCGGCGGTTAGAGAGGAGATGGAATTTGAGAGGGGCAGGGGAAGGTTCAGATAAAAAGGAAACGAATGAAATTTGATGTAAGAGGATTTTGGATGGAAACGGGCGGTTGAGATCAGGAATGGGGAGTGATCAACGGTGAGGAATGGGATTAAAATTTCTGTGAACAAGGTGGACGATTGGATCTTATCTGTAGAAGATAACGAGGTGACACGTGGCAGTCTTGTATTAGTTCAGAAAAGTATTTGGCGAGGGGATTAGAATTGTATTTTAAAGGTTCGTTCCAATATTCCATTATTCCATTTGTAAATCTTGTTTAGTATTAATTATCCGGCCCTATGTATCTTGGACTAATTGGTCTATTGCCCGACTGCCCAATGTATTGATGTAATCCTATTTATATGTGTTTAAATGATGAGATGAAATATTTATGGGAAATTATCAAGTATATGATGTCAAAGTTTTATAGTTTTTATCCTTTCTTTCTAACCCTAGTCGTCGACCCTACCCGTTATCATCGTCGATCATCCTCTCACATTTCTTCTGTGTTTTGTTGATTCATCATTTTTAATACCAAAAAAAAAAACGCAGAAAAACCCTATGAAATTATTAATACAGATCCGAATATCCCCATCATTCGAGACCGAGATCATTGTAACTATGATGCATAGCATGAGTTATTTCAAACTAACTGGAACCTAATTGAATGAAACGGAAAACCCCAACATAATCTGATGACATCGAATAGAACCTAATTGACTCTATAGTGAAATTGTAGATTTACATAACAATTATACGATCCCTCCTCTAGATTATCTTGGAAAGAATGACATTTCTTGTTATGTATGATGTATGAAAGAATCTTGAAGCCCTCTTTCACGATAACAAATACGCAAAGACCACAAACATCGCCAAATAATCTATCACAAATAATATATATTAGTAATAAGGGATTGAATCCATATAGATTGGTTTAGTTTTTATTTATGCAATCCATTCACAACAATCAACTTTAAAATGAAAAGGAGATTTGTTTGGTTAAGTTCTAACTTATTCATAAAAAAATTGTAAAATTAGTAAAATCAATATGAAATGAATCAACATCGGAGAGGTAATCAATATTGAGATATTATTACAAGATCAACTGTTAATTTATCATGATGGTTAATGGTGCAATATTTTTAATTCATTCCAACCTAGCTATAGTAATTCAAAAGTTTGAATCACCTAGATTTTTCATAAATAGTCCAGTAATTAGAGAACCTCTTAACAATCATTCTTAATCAAAGTCATGATCAAATAAGCATATGGTTTAAGAATCATCAAATCCAAAAGGAGCCCAAATGCTTACACTTATACTTTGGAGAATACAATCTTATCATTATGATTTAAAATGAGATTATAAGCATCTACCTAAATCATTTGTTACTAATTTGTTTTGAAAACCAATTAAGTAATCTAGAAGACAAATCACCATAACCATTCAATTATTAAAACTCATAGTTAAAAACACAAGAAAAGTTGAAACAAAGATTGCATTCATGGATGTGAACAAGATACTCATAAACCTTTCAAAATATAGCAAGATGTTCATGGACTTTTTACCCAATATTGATAAAGAATAAATTAGCCACACATAATCATAAATGAGAAATAAAATGTACCAAGAATTAAATCCACAAGTTCTCAAGTTTTCAATCCTTCAAAAGTTCTTAAAAATAACCCTTCAAAACTCTAAAGAATATGCTCCAATCCCTCTTTCATCCGTCTAGAAAACGTTCACCTACCATACCATAAATAACAACCCATGTCACCGGGCCCAATTCAAACTAGCCCAAAAGTTACCAATGATGTCCATCCCAAAAGAGAGATAACAAAGCTGCAAGATTTATGGACTGATCCAGCCCGTTTATTTTGTGTATGTTGTTACATTGGAATAAAACGATCAGAAAATTGCTCCAAAGTCTCTTTCATTCCTTATAAATTATTGGGACTTGGGAGATTAGCAATTTCAAATTGGCTCTATCATATATATGATATACCCCTTTCATCGAGGAAACTTTATTCATAAAGAAGAATCAAACCCTTACAAGATAATGTTTTGAACCCGATTCCATATTCGAAATACACCCTTGGGGCTAACATCTAAAAACTAAGAACCAGAATTAAAACTGCGACTATAATATTAGTTATTTCATTCATTTAGTTATAGTATAATACAATTCATTACAACAAGAAAACAAGAAGATCCAACTGACATACAAGGCTTAAATATTTGGTAGGTACAATTATTTGAAACATAAGTTACAAGTCATCACAGCATACTACCTAAAATGGATTCGCGGATTTTCATTTACCCATTGTGGAAATACCGAAGTAAAGAGTAAAGACTCTGACCATATTCACGTTTATGTCAGACATCCTTAAATTTACGCTTTACCCCTTCATCTCTTCAAGATATTCATCTCCTGTCAGTCCCCGTGAACTTCACCATTTATTAGCTCTTAACTCTTAAATGTTATGTCTGTACCATTTGCATTAAATGTTGTACATTTACTAGCCTAAAATCACCTTCATGGAATTGAAACCTTCGGTTTCATTCAACAACTGAATCTTGTATTGATGTGTCGTAGACATTTGGAATTGTTGATAACTGGTTTAAATTCGTTGTAGAGTACAATCGTTTATCATTATGATTTTTTTGTGCGAATATAATAGTAAAAAGTATTTTACTTACATTAACGTTACTTATAAAATACAGGGAACTAATTAGTTTTTGTTTTGTTTTTTTTTTATCATAAGACAATTTTGATATCTAACAAACCAATCTTCTCAATTTGTATGTAGAAAGAAATGTATTCGCTACAGACTAAAAACGTCAAAGAAGATCCATTCGTGATTCGTCCACGTGTACCCATTCAAATCCAAGGGCCCAACGTACAATGGCAAAATTGTCATTTCCCAATTCCCACGCATATGCATGGTTTTAAAATTCAAAATTTTGACCATGCATGGCTTAGTTTCAAATTTTGGCAACTCTTGAAGGCGTAAAACTCAAAAGAGGGTGTGTCCAAGAATCATGTGAAGTGCATCAAATGTTATCCTTACATTAAATATAAGCACTTATTAATTTCACTTGTTGCATATATAAATATACGCAACTATTAATTTCACTTGGTTATTCTCCTACCCTCCATATCTTTATGTGCGTATCTCTCTCTGACCATTTGACCTTTCAAATCTCTCTGTAAAATCTTGTTTTGTAAAAGCCTTAAAGAAAGCTCAAGACTTTCCAAAATGAGGAACATATATCCTCACATATTGCTTCTTGTCAGTATAGTTTTCTTGGCACTTGACCTCGGTGAAAGCCTCCATCCTCATCATTGTAAGGCTACAGTCTTCATTTACTTTCTTTGCATTATTAAATGTTAAGAAAAGAAGCTTTATTATCTCTTCCATTTTGCCTCACTTTACGTACCTTACGTAATTCTTCAAAAAGAAAGCCTTAATAACTCTTTTATTTCATCTATATGTACGCTCTTATAACATATTGTAACTTGTAGACTCCGATTCAAGTAACGTTTATATGCAACAAGTGGTTTTATATATGTTTAGTCTTTGAACGTTTGTTAAAAATCCAAAATATATACATAATAAATAGATAATTGATGTTTTTTCAATTAATTTCTTTGACATCATTTGAATTTTCATCACTAATTAATTGGCTTTCTACCTTTTGTTTTAGTTACTTACAAAGTGAAAGGTGGTTATGGTGAATCCCAAAATCATAAGCATCCCAAGGTTTGATCAATTCCACATATTTAAGTGATAAATGTTTGTATATCCCATTTTGAAGAATATTCATACGACGTGCATGTATATGATATTTTGTAGGAAGGAAAAAACGTAGAACTTGGAATGGATTTATACCCAACAGGATCAAGCATACCAGATTGCTCACATGCATGTGGGCCATGTTTTCCATGTAGGAGAGTGATGATAAGTTTCAAGTGCTCCATGCCTGAATCATGTCCTGTTGTCTACAGGTGTACTTGTAGAGGCAGATACTATCATGTTCCATCGAATTGATATGTATCTATTGATCATGCATGGGTATATCAAATTGAACTTATGGTATAATGTGGCTCATGAAGGGAAATTTGTAGTGGTAACTTAGTTGCTGAAGTTGAATATTTCGGGAATCTAAATTAATATTGAGTTTTGTAGATATGATCTTTCATGATCGTAGTTTTATCAGCCGTTTTTTTTTTTTTCATGTTAATTTTTGCTAGGGTATTGTATGTTCTTGTGACTTTGGTTTATTTGAATATTGGTGTAAGAATTCAGAATCTTATTTGAATTATATTTTGTTTTTATTTTACAAAATTTATTTTGTATCATGCTTGCACTTCAATTATTAATTATTCTTTCATGTTCTTATATATGTTTCTGTAATAAAAAAAATGTTACGATACAAAAGCCATTATTTATATAATAAGTATTATATATGTTTCTGTAATAAAAAAAATGTTACGATACAAAAGCCATTATTTATATAATAAGTAAATTCAGTTATCAAGAAATAAAACTTTTAGGGACGACAACTTTAGCGACGACAGTAGGCTTTAGCGGCGACCTATGCTATCAATAGCGCGTTATAGCGGTGCTATAGCGGTGCTATAGCGTTTTGCGGTGTTACTAAACCGCTATTTTGAAATAGTATATACAAATAGTAGTGATGCTATTAGCGGTGCTATTGACCGCTATTTACCGTGAACCTCATCAGCGCTATAGCGACGCTACACTCGCTTTTACAATTTCATACATATTTGGGTATTTTGACAATTGTGTGTTTTTTTTTAAATTAAAACCTTTATTTTTTTTAACTACTACACTACACTTTTTTTCTTAATAAGTCCAAATAATAAATATAATTAATTACAAACAACAAAGCAACAAAAGACAAGTTCTCTTTCTCTTATATTTCAGTAATTAGAAACCACGAACGACTTGAGATGCAATGACATTTTGACACTTTTTAGTTTCCATATTACTTTATTAGAATATTATATATAAATTAGGTTATGTTTTTATATGATTTTTTATAATATTGATTCTATATAGTATAATATATAAATTTTATATAAATATATAATATAAATTATACATAATATTGAAAAACCGCTATATCACTGCTATACCACCGCGATAACCGCTATTTCAAATAGCGGCATGTGGACGCTATTGAAATTTAGACCGCGATAACTACTTAGGCGGTGACATTAGGTAATGTCGTCGCTACAGCTGTCGTCGCTAAAGGAGTTCCACCGTCGATCCTCTCTGACCACACGCCATTTAATCGTGACGGTTGGAAGCTATAGAGATCCATCGGTTAGGGTTTCATCTAGTGGAAAGTAGTAGCGACGACAGGTCACCGCGATTGATAGCGATCCACGTGAATTTGATCGTGACCCTCCGGTTGTTTTTAGATCGGACGGCTACTAGGCACTAGAGAATGCCGCGTGTTTTGCCCTCCAACTTGTCGCCGCAATTGGTAGGGCGTCGCCACTAAAGGTGTCGCGTCCTTTTGGCTACCCCTTCGCCCTAGACAACTCATTTTGTGCCTACCACAACTCCTCTCGCAAACTCCGGCCACCAACGTTTTCTTGTGAATTTTTCCGTATTTTCCAGTGTTCTTCACCAACCCAAACCACCACTCTTTCTAGGCTTTCATTTTCCGTTAATTTCTTGCAAATTCCGACCATTTCGGGCGAATTTTGAGTTCTCCGGTAAGATGCATTTTGATCTTCTCTTTTATCCTTCTATTGTTTTCTGACATTTATTTAACCATTATTTCATTTTTTTTTTTGTGATTTTAAGTAAACTCCGGTGGTGCTCTCAATTTTCCGGCGAACCAGGTTTTTTTCCTTTTTTTTTTTCCTTTTTTTTGTGTGTGTTGATAATATATACGAAATGTATATATTTGGTTATGTAAAATATGAATATTTTGATATGTCAAATTAAATGAAACATATGAATGCATATGTAAAATGTATATATTTATGTTTGAATGTATTAAAAAAATGTATATGTTTGTGTATGTATGGAAAAATGTGTTCTCTCTCTTTTATATATATATATATATATATATATATATATATATATATATATATATATATATATATATATATATATATATATATATGATTTTGGAGCGATTACAAATGATCACATGGCTACAACTTATTGGGCGTCGCTGAACAATCGGATATGTGCGTTGTATAGAGGTTGCAAAAATCTGGCAAAAAATCGTTTCCTTTATTTTGCAGGGGAATGTGGAGGTAGCAAGGGCTCAAGCCCCTACGGGTATGGATCTGCAACGTTGGAATGCTGCTATTGACCACTTCTTAACAGAAAAACATCAAAAACGATCCGCTGGAAACAAAGAATATCGGAAGAAGCAACTAGTTAAGAATCGTGGAGGGACTTGCAGCTACGGTAGTGCTTGTTTTAAGAAAGTAAGTTACGATAATGCTTATTCAGTTATAACATATTTTTTTTAATGTTTATTCAACTATAACATATTTTTAATGTTAAACAGAATTTGAATAGATTTACAGCATTTCATCGTGCGCACGCGAATAAAAAATGCAAATTTGTTGATCCTTTGGTTGAAGACCAATATATACGTTATTATTACTTAAAAATGAAGTAAATTGTTGTTTTTTTTTTGTTTTAGTTTTATCGTATATTAACAATCTTTGTGAAATACAGAATGCCTTGGTTGCTAGGTTGATCTACAGACTCATCACATAGCCGACTCTGGTGGTGATCCATACAACATTGATTTAATCGCAATATTTGAGAAGGTGTTGGGTACACGAAAGGGGCATGTGAGAGGCATTGAGCCTAAACCTTCTTCAGCTGCGGGTACAACTGCTTCATCCCAATGATAGTCACAGTCATAAACACCACAACAAATACAGATACTTGTTAAATTCTTAAAGAATTTGGTAGCTTTGTTATATTGTTAAGAACTTAATGTATTTGTAGTGATTTTTGGTAGTTCAGTAGTTTGTTAAATTGTTAAAGACTTATTTGATTTGGTGCTTTGATGGTTTGATAGTTTGTTGAATTTTTAATGACTCAATGTGCTTGTGACTTAATTGTAGGATGTCGATGTGAATGCTTTTCTTCAAAACCCAGCATTTGTGACGACCATTGGAAACATTATTCGCTCGTTTAAAAACCAAGTCAATGAGGAAAACAATGATGAGAAGGACGATGGGGAAGACGAAGACAACTAGTATTTCTTGTTTTATGATATAGATGATGTTATTTTAGATTTTGAAGATAGTTTATGTATGATATATATATTAGATGTTTGTTTGAGATTTATTAAAGATTTTAGGGAATATGGTATGTTTGATGTTTTTATATAATGTGGTATGTATTTATTTATGTATTTATATCAAAACTGTATTTTATAATATATATAAATTAATATTATAAAAAATATGTTTTTTCTAAAAAAAAAAAAAACATTTGCAGCGACGCCTTTAGGGACGACTACGATACGACCCATACCTCCGTGGAGGTTTGCCGGAAAAACTTCGGCCGGTAGTCGGAATATTAATAAAGACGACGTTATTTGTGACGACAATTGTGTATTAGGGACGACATATATTAGAGACGATGATATTAGAGACAACAACCGCCTATTAGCTACGAAGCAGTTGCGGTGACCCTTTAGCGATGACATGTCGATGTCGTCGCTAATACCTTTAGCGACCAAACGTGATCAATTGCGACGATTTTTGTCGCCGCTAAAGGTTGTTTTTTTTTTTGTTGTGTGTATATATATGTTCAATTTTAAAAAAATTACTTTTAAAAATATGGAATAAACCGTAGACCGCACCACAAAGTGTGTGATAACAACTAAAGTTCTAAACCGTGTTTTATAATGTTGGCAAAGAAAAATCCTTTGGCGACAATTAAGTGACGAAATTATTTTGTCACGTAAATTAGTATCCCTAGTCCCTTCAACTATGGTTTATGACAAATATTCTATTGCTTTTTTTTTCTGAACGGCAAGCTGACATTAACAAAAAAAAAAAAAAAAGACTAGCTAGAGGCTAGAAATACAAAATACCATAAGAGAGTATGCAGTGGATAACACAAAACAAAAAACAGCAACGAAGAACATGCTACTTAAACCTGCAATAGCATTCTAGAATTTGGTCACAGCACCACTTAAACCAACTAAATGTGTGTCCCTTCCGATTACGTGCATTGATCCATAAATAAGCCAGAGATTTCACTTCGAAAGCCAGCACCGAATGAGTTTTTGAACCTGGACTTGGAGCATGAACTATTTGGTTTCGGTGATTCCATATTACCCATACATACACCAACATTATAGCTTCATGAATTATAGATAATCTCTGATGCCCTTGCAAATTTGATTTGTGATTTAATAGATCATCGGCTGAGTTGAAAGTGCAGTCCAATAACCGCCACCATTTGCCTACATGTTGCCAAACACCTTTTGAGGTTGTACATTCCACTAAAATATGATCTTTAGTTTCTGGAGCATCGTTACAGCACCTGCATACACTAGATTGGCTGATACCAAATTTAAATAAGTTAGCCATGGTTGGAAGTTTCCCATGGCATATCCGCCAGTATAGAATATTAAGTTTCCAGGGACTAAAGGATTCCAAGCCCATTTGCCATCACTTTGCGGAAGGATTGAGTTATCTATAAAACTCCTGAGAAAGGAAACAGTGTAAATACCAGATGGATCTAGAGACCAACCCCATCTAGTTGAACCGCCATTATTGGCTACTAGCTTGAAATGTTCTAGGAAGAGCACGTTTTCTTTTTCCATGTCTTTAGGGATGTTAGCTATTGATCCCCAGCACCCGCTCCTTCTCTTTGCAACCAAGGATCCAAGGAAACCACCATCTGGACCATAAATTGACTTAATCACCTCAACCCACATACTATTGTTTGAATTCTTAAATCTCCATCACCACTTTCCCATTAAAGCTATATTTTGTGCCTTTAGACTGCCATTCCCCAAACATCCTTTGTCTTTAGCTGCAATGGTTTTTTCCCATGCAATCGATACCTTCTTTTTCAAAGCCATATCTCCTCCCCAGAAGAATCTCATTCTAGTTTTCTCAACACTCTTAATAACTTTAGACGGAGCCTTGAATAAAGAGAAATAGAAAAAAACTAAGACTTCTTAAAAAAGGTTTGCATAGTGTTAGTCGGCCACCAAACGACAAAGTGTTTGCTTTCCACTTTGATAACTTCACCTGAAAATTTTCTACAATTGGATTCCAATGTGTAGATCTTGCCATAGATGCCCCCACTATGAGTCCAAGATAGATAAAAAGGAGTGAACCAACAGAATAGTTAAAGCTTTGAGCCACCAAATTCAATTCGCAACTTTGGACCCCAAAACCGAATATTTTGCTTTTCGACATGTTCATCTTGAGTCCTAATGATAGTTCAAAGCATCTCAGGATTCTGATCAAGTTCTTTGCATTCTCAATTGACCAAGAGCCCATAAAAATCACATCATCTGCACATTGGAGGTGTGATATAACTGGACCATCGCGAGGGACTTTAATGCCCTGAAATAGACCCTTTTCTTTTGCCATTTCCATCGCCAAGTGAAGTCCCTCTGCTGCAATAATAAATATAAATGGAGATAGGGGGTCCCCTTGTCTAACCCCTCGCTCCATGCCAAATTATGTTGTTGCAGCTCCATTTATGAGCATTGAAACTCTTGCAGAAGAGAGGCACACTAGGATCCACCTTCGGAATTTAGTCCCAAACTCCATTTGTTGCAGCACAGAGTCTAAATACTCCCAGCTAAGGCTATCAAGTGCCTTCTCGAAATCGACCTTAAATGTAAACTCTTTCCTTTTTTCTTTCTTGATCCAAGCGATTACCTCATTAAGTACAAGAAGGTCATTAAGTAAAACAAAACTAGACTGAAAATGATCAGATCAATGATGAACAAAAGGATGAGTCGCCAGATCAAGGTAGGCTGCACCTGATCCTACATCGACTTGGAAGGAGAACGAAACATTTCCTTATAAGGGGTGTAGATACCTTCCTTGACACAACTCGTTTTAAAGCCGTGACGGCAGTAGATCCCATAAGAACTCTACAGTTAAGCGTGCTCAGGCGAGAGCAATCTAGGGATGGGTGACTCCCTAGGAAGTTTTTGAGCAGGGAGCCCAAAGCGGACAATATTGTGATACGTGTCATAGGGGATGTTACAAATGGTATCAGAGCTGGGGCACGGGTTGATGTGTTCGACGAGGACGTCGAACCCTATAATGGGGGGGGGGGGGGGTGAAGGTGGGTTGCACCTAATACCACATCGGTTGGGAAGGAGAACTAAACATTCCTTATAAGGGGTGAGGACAGATTCCCTAACACAATGCGTTTAAAATCCGTGAGGGAGCAGATCCCAAAAGAACTATACAGTTAAGCGTGCCCGGGCGAGAGCAATTCAAGGATGGGTGGCCCCCTGAGAAGTTTTTGCGTCGGGAGCCCAAAACGGACAATATTGTGATACGTGCTAGAATAGGGATGTTACAACTACTTCCTTCCCCATCTTTAATATTTGTTATGTTCCTTTTCTTTACCTTGAGTTTTGTTGGCTTTTGAACTTAAGGACATGTTACCTTGTTATGTCCTACTTTCTTGCACACACTACACCAAAAAAAATACCAACCTTTGACACGGTGTGTCTTACACCGCTTTCACTTGGATCCTTTCTTCTATTCACTTTAGGTCTACTTGGCATTGTTCACTAAATGGTGGTAAAGGCTGTATAAAGCCAATTGATGGCCAAATATTGCTACCATTCATCTCATGCATTGGATACTTGTAAGTGTTCTGTAAAATGTTGCATAGTACATTAAATCCACATAACTTCCAACATCTATATTTAGAAAGGAGATAGTTTCAACTGAATGCACACATCCATATGATCGGTTTTGAGCATAAAAAATAAAAACCTATGTGTGTATGCAACCCTAATTCTTGGATCTATGTTTTCTCTAATTGAACATACAACTCGTAAACATCAAATGGAAAACCCTAATACTACTAGTATAATTCTGAAATTACTAATATAGGGTTAAGAAAACATACCTTGATTGTTATATAGTAATAACAATGTATATCCTTAGTGTTGTTGAAGCTTAGAGAGCAAGCACCACAACTATCGTGTCTCTAATGGTTCACACCCAACACTAGCAAGATGATGAGAGAGGAGAGAGGGGAGGAGGATTGAGAATTTTTGGTTTTTCCTCTAGGGTTTCAGATGGATGAAAATGTGAAGGGGTAAGGCTTTTTATATAGATAGGGTAGCTTAGAGCCAAAGCTAGGGTTTTATGAGGAAACCCAAATCCCTTAGCTTAAGGACCAAGCAGCCCAAGAATCCCCATCCAAGAGCCATTGGATGAAAATTCTAGGGCCTTCCTAGAAGTTCTCATCCAACCTCTTCTAGGGAGGTTTTAAAGCCTCTTTCCTCAGCTATCAATAAATTGCCAAACAACCATTGCATTTTTATAATTCAATTTAATCCCAAAATTAATTCCAATTAACTTGTGATTAAATATTACTATTTCAAATTAATATATTATTCTCATAATATATTAACAAATAATTTATTTTAGTTAGGTTCATGTCAATATTCCTCATATGAAAGTTCTTAATGAACTGACCATATGACTTAGAAAGTGAAAGAATAACCAAATCAATGGTTTGCTTCCTTGGGAAAATGACACCCATTCTATCCAATTTGCCAATGTACGATTTCATTTCTAGAACATGCGCACATAAAAAATTTTCATCTTGATGTCTACATGCCAATAGGGCTTGAGTAGTTTCGTGTCTTTCAATTCGAGGAAAATGTAACATGGGGAGAGTCACTGGAGGAGGATGTGGAAGAGTTGAAGAAGCATGGTGTCCAGTTCCACCATTTCTCGAAGAAGAGAAAAAAATTTCACCTTGATTAGAAAGTGGAAGATCATCTTCAGAAGAAAGAGAAAAACCATTTCCAAAAGAATAAGGAAGATCATTGTTGTCTTGACTTGACATCTATAATAGGAGAAAATAGAATTCAAGTTAGTTGATTTTAATCATTAACTATTAACCCATAAATTTTAAATTAAGGCTATGATCCATATTTTCTATTTAAACTTTGAAGAGGGGTGTCGTAATAAAATTCAAATCTATCTTAGATAGGTAAGGCTTTTACCAATTTTAATCTTAT